ATACAAAGTTGCTCAAGATAGTTAAGTCCAAAGCAGACTGAGAAGAGTTACAAAGGGGATCTCACAAAACGGGGTGACTGGGCAACAAAATGGCAGATGAAATTCAATGTTGATAAATGCAAATTAATGAGTATTGGAAAACATAATCCCAACTATACATACAAAATGATGAGATCATTTAGCTGATAACACTCAAAGAGATCTTGGAGTCATTGTGGCTAGTTCTTTGAAAACTTCCACTCAATGTGCAATGGCAGCCAAAAAAGCGAACAGAATGTTGGAAATCATTAGCAAAGGGATAGATGATAAAACAGAAATATCTTAATGCCACTGTATAAATCCATGGTACCCTCCACACCTTAAATACTCTGCACAGTTCTGGTCGCCCATCTCAAAAAAGATGTATTAGAATTGGAAAAGGCACAGAGAAAGGCAACAAAAATGATTAGGGGTATGGAACAGCTTCCATGGAGAAGAGATTAATAGACTGGAACTAAGAGGGGATATTATAGAAGGCTATAAAATCATCAATGATGTGGAGAAAGTGAATAAGGAAGTACTTCCACACAACGCACAGTCAATCTGTTGCCAGGGATGTTGTGAAGGTCAAAACTATAATTGGGTTCAAAAAAGAACTAGATAAGTTTATGGAGGATAGGTCCATCAATGGCTATTAGCTACGATAGTCAGGGATGTGACCCCATGCTCTGGGTGTCCCTTGCCTCTGATTGCCAGAAGCTGGGAATGGATGACAGGGAATGGATCACTCAATGATTGCCTGTTTTGTTCATTCCCTCTGAAGCACCTGGCATTGGCCACTGTTGGAAGACGGGATACTGGGCTAGATGCACCATTGGTCTGATCCAGTATGGCCATTCTTATGTTCTAGGTGAGAGGGCAGTGTATAAAGACCTGACTTTGTATCCTTAGTTCCACAGGTGAGGAGGGAATGATGAGTGGCAAAGTTTAAGGGATGATCAAAGGGACCAACTAAACTGATAGGTTTCAGAGTAGCAGCCATGTTAGTCTGTATTCGCAAAAAGAAAAGGAGTACTTGTGGCACCTTAGAGACTAACAAATTTATTTGAGCATAAGCTTTTGAGAGCTACAGCTCACTTCATCGGATGCATTCAGTGAAAAATACAGTGGGGAGATTTTCAGTGGAAAATACAGTGGGGAGATTTATATAAATCTCCCCACTGTATTTTCCACTGAATGCATCCGATGAAGTGAGCTGTAGCTCACGAAAGCTTATGCTCAGATAAATTTGTTAGTCTCTAAGGTGCCACAAGTACTCCTTTTCTTTTTGCAACTAAACTGAGTAAGGCAACCTAGTAAGAATATTTCTCGGCTCCTTGTATCATTTTTCCAGCTCCCCACCTCTCCGATTCATGGATTTTGTCCTCCATTAGCAACTCACTCATGTTTTGATTTTGTTTGTTTAATTTTCACAGTGTGTGCCACCTACCATTGTATCGCCTGGTGCATTGAGGACAACTTTCTAAAAAAACTGATTATAGCTGTAGTGTTACTAAAAGCTAGAGGTTGCTTAAGCATTTCTATGCTAAACACACTTTTGCTCATGGTGTTGCTCATAATTTTCTGAAATTTTCCATGTATAGTCTTGTAAATGGGAAGAATTTGAACATAACTGGCTGAACAGTGCATTTTTCTTCTTATAAAAAGATATGCATTTTTTGAATACTCGTACCACCATAGCAGGCAGGGGTGGACATTGGGATGGGGAGTAGTGAAAGAGGCAGAAACTATTCCCAGATGTTGTAACATGTCTCCAACTCCCACCCAAACTGCAGGGGGTTTTCCAAACAACTTACCACTACTTGGGAAACTGTTGTAGGGAGCAGAGAAGCCTAAGAAGTTCAGGTTTGACCATTCAGTACAAACCTTTATGAACTTTGACCCCTTTCTAGAGCTTTGGGTTTTACAGATGACTGATTAAAGAGATGACGCAGAAGGTCTTATCTTGCAGATCACTTACTGGTATAGGGAGGTCTTATTGAACCACTTTCTAGATGGGTTTTTTTCTATTGCCCCCCCCCCCCATTCTGGTGTTGTGTTCCTGTAGCAAGTACCTCATAGTATTGATATGTTTGGGACATGGGACTACAATACTATATTATGTGGCTACATGCAGATTTTCTCTGTTGAGCCGGCTTTTGAATTATATCATCCCAACCACTGCGATTGAAATTAGATCAAGCGCTCTCACAAAGAGTGCAGGTTTCAGCTAGTTGGTCTTTAATCGCTACACTCAACTGGCAAAACTGACTTCTATTTGTTCAATGGAAAAAATCTAGGATCCATCATGAGCAAGGATCTCTTCTGTCATTTACAGCACGTGTGGAACATGCTTCACCAGACCTACTGAATGCCAGACCTCCCTTCCTCCTAACTCATCCTTTTTGCTCATCCCTGGTCCCCTTCCACTTTCCTTTTTCTATTCATGTCTGTCTTCTCCTATTTTATTACTGTTACGCCACCCTAAAATGTCACGTCTATGTCGTATTGTCTGGTTGTGTATTATCTAGTCTTGCAGCTTTGACCAGTTGTAGAATTCCATCTTTCTATTGGAGATCCCATAAAGCGCATGGTATACAAGCTGTAAGTCTTTACCTTTTTGTACTTTTCAGTGTCTGTGTCTTTAGGAAATCAATAACTCATTAATCACACACAAAAAGTAGTAGTGTTAGTGATTCAACGGGTGGCCTTCTTCTTTGTACTGAACCAATGACCAGCATAGCGTTGAAGGCCATGGTGCAGCTGGAGGAATGATTGTTTGGTTTTTAACATGCACCAGATCCACCAATAACTTATGATCCTGAGATTTTATGCAAAAGCCATAGCATTAACCTGGTAAAATTCCAGCCTGGGGAATAACATTATGTGCCTACATTTCTCCTTTCTGCTGCTTGCATTGGATACAGAACAATTTATTTCCTGACCTAAAATATTGTCTATTTTTGTAATGTACTGTTAAACAGCTGCACCTAGGAGGTGGCTGCATTTCAGTAATAGATTAAAGTCATTCTTCTGTAACTACATGTTAATTGTAAGAAACATGGCACTTTCAGTTCTCTTCAAATAAATAGCAATATATTGATTTATTTTTATTACTTACAAAAAATCCTGTTAAAATAACTTAAATACAGCAGAATAAACAATTTATGAAAAGTAACAGCACATTCAGCATGATACTAGGAAGGCCTACTGTATTACTTAAATTATAAGCGATTTGCAGCAGAGTCTAACTTAGCTTGATGTATGTACAGTGCTAAGCACAATGGGGGCGCGCCTATCAGGGCACTACTGCAATACAAATAATAATGCTGCGGCTTCAGCCTTAAATCAAGGAAACTGCAGGGTAGAGAGTGTAGCTAACCCAGATTTAAAGTACAGAGGCCCACAAGAGACAAGTTAGTATGCCAACTATAACAAAGCACATATTATTTTGGGGATACAGGGAGAAAATGGGTAGGAGGCATCTATAGACTTTTAAGAGTTTACCGTTTCAGTAAACACACACCCACACCAGCAAGTTTGTAGAGAAAGGAACCTCCATCAGAACTGATAAACTTTGTAATCTAAATTTACCTGTCTCATTACTATGGTTAGGAAGATTTTAGCCAGATGTTCACTTAAAACTTTAGCTACAGAGAAACCTCGCTTGGGGGAGGGAGGAATTGAAGGAATTAATACCAGATTATTTATTTTTTTGACCATTACATTTTCCTGAAAGGAATTGCTAATAATTTTAAGGAATATCACCATGGGGAGGAGAGCTTTACCTCCTAAGAAAACAAAAATACCTTCCATAGGATAAATTGCATTTTTATACCCATTGTTGTAAAGTTAAAATGATACCAGCTGTATTCTCTCTGCTTACAGAATGATCTCAGCTGACAAATTTCTCCTGTTTCACAAGCTTTGCAATATTTAGAAAGCTGTTTAAAGACTACCAGGTTTTTCTGGTAAGGTGTAAAAGAGGAAGACTGAGTTTATGGAACACATTAAATTGTTATTTTAAAATCTTTAAATTGTATTTCACATGTATAGTCCTTGAGGGGACAAAACCACACATACCAGACTGAACTTCACCGTTTATAAATCTTGATTTGAATGTCTACTTCTCCTGCAATTGTGCTAAATTCTAAGGAGAAAGCATACAGACTCTGAATGTAGGAAGGAAAGTGGTAGGGGATAAAAAGTTCAAGTTCTTCTCATGGCTAAGTTTATTTTACAAAAGCCTCCAGATGTAACTCCTTGTGTCTGAACGCTTCTATCTGGCTCAGGCTGACACTTCCTTTCATAGGAGTGCAATGAACAGAGTTCTGTGAAGAGGAAGAGGCCGCATTTTAAATGGTTTCTTAATCCAGCCTTTGCAGTATCAGGCATGTATGTTTTTTCATGTTTACTGTACATTTTTGCCTATACAAAAGAGGCATAGGACTGGGAGAGACAGATCCCATTACCGCCTCTACTGCAGATTAAAGACTTGTTTACACCCACAGTTCCACCACCCGCTTAACTAAAGGTGTGATTTAAGATCAGTTCATCAGGAGATTGCTGGCACTCATGTGAGTGAATTTAAAGTGGCAGACCACAACTTTATTAAACTTTAACCTTGAAAGGGAGGGGTCTAACCCCTTCCCTCTAACAACTTGGCATTAATCAGGTCCAGAGCAGGACTGAAAGGCCTCAAGCCATACGACCGAGGAAGGAGGGTTGGCTCACTTAACCCAGCCCTCCTAGTACTCCACTAACGAGCCTCCTGGCCAATGAAGGGGAATGAAAGTACAGATGAGGGGAATTCTGTCTGAGGGAACTTTAAGAGCGCCTCCCTGTGCACAGGTTTACCTCAGGAACGGGCCCTTTGAAGCCTCTTACACAGGATGCCAGCTGTGACAATATTTGAGATTTGCACATGCTTCCTCTTATTTTTTAAGATGTAACATCTCTTCCTTCTTAACCCCACCTACCAGGTCTCCCGCATGCAGTGAGGAAGGCATAAAACTCCACCTGACACTTTCCCGAGAGGGCAAAATTCCTTCCTGACTACAAAAGGTGACCCTGGAAACCCTACGCTGACCCCTATAGGGTAAGGCAGTTTTCTGCTGTCATGTGCCCAGCAATGCTTAAACACCCAGGAAAGGGGGTTTAGTGGAGCCAGTCAGCTCCCAAACCCTGTTTGAATTAGCAATTGGATGGCTAGAAGAGGTGGAGCTCCCTGCCACTCATCCTGTCTTCACCCAACCCCCATGTGCAAAGAGGCACAGGAAAGGGCTGGGTGGTCAAAAGAAGACACTCACCTTCCCTGTAGCAGAACCTTAAAGGCTAGCTTGTCTTTTCCCCAGCCAGTCTGATTATTCACCCTTCCCATGCCTGAGAAGGAGCGTTGAGTTAAACCAGAGCAAAAGGCGGTGTGGACACTCTTCAATCAATATAAACGTGGTTTGTATTGATTAAGCTTAAACTGATTCATTTTTCAAATAAAAATGTCTGCACAAGGTCTTGCACTGATTTCTAAACTCTGACTTTAGTTAAACTGGTGCAACATTTTTTTCTAGACTACAGTTTACAGTGCTATTTTAATTAGTTATTTGCTCACTGACTCAATTTAACACTTTTTTAAATACTAATCTGGACACTCCACAGAAGTTTGTTGCAATACACAAATGTTTGTAAAGTATCTAAATGAGCATTTAATAACTTGAGTTAAAATCACACCACAGACTCTAACTAGACACCTTTATTGTGTGACCTTGGGCAAGTCCATTTTAGGGGGGACACTTTTAGTTTCAAATGACAGTGGGATGCCTAATTCCCATTGAAAATTAATGAGAGTTAAGCACCTGAGAGTATGTCTACACTGCAATGAAAGACCTGAGGCTGGCCCAGGCTGACTTGGGCTTGCGCTGCGGGGCAAAAAATTGTAGTGTAAATTGGGCCTTGGGCTGGAGTCCGGGCTCTGGATCCTGGTGAGGGGGTTGGGTCTCAGAGCCTAGGCCCTAGCCCGAGTCCAAACACCGACACTGCAATTTTTAATCTCACAGCTCAAGCCCTGTGAGCCTGAGTCAGCTGACCGGGCCTCTGAGACTTGGTGCCATTGGTTTTTTTTATTGCAGTGTAGATGGATCCTGTGCGTCCCCTAAATCTGTGCCTCGGTTTCCTCATCTGTAAGGCTGTTGCGAGTCTAAGAGCATGACAGTTTTTGCAAGGATTTAATCAACTCTGTAGGAAAAATGGGCTTAATTAAAGTGGTGCAATTCCCTAGTGTGCATGGAGCTATATTGAAAGAAAAGGGTATATGACACTTTTCTGGTGGTGAAACTGCCTTTGCATTTGTTGCACTGATTTAATTATGTTGGCTAACTACGTAGTTAAACCTGTGCAAAAAGGCATAAGTTAAACAAAGCACATGCAGACCTCAGACCCAATAAATGTGGAAAACATTAACTACCCAATTTTGTACTTATGGGGGGAAATGCACAAGAGAGTTTAGATGCAGTTTGATTCTGTTCATTTTAAAAAGTATTTACACTAAAACTTCTTTTTAAAAAAAACCTTACTTTTGCATATTTCCTGTGATGAAAATTCTATAGCTGACCAAGACTGTTCTGTGTTGCTTTTAATTATTGTGAAAATGAAAGCTTCTGAGCAATATTTCCTAATTACAACAGAGTGATCTGTCTCACCTCACTTTTCTCTTAAGCAGTCAGGTTTGCTGTTCTGGGTTTTTTTGTTTTGTATATGTGAATAAGTGGGATATAAATGAAGTGTGAAAAATAGTAGTTGTCTTTGTTCTTACTGCAGTATTTTCTATCCTTCTAAGAAAAGCACCAAAGGACAAATATGCAAATTAAACATACACACCTGTGGACAAGTTAATGCAGATGATGACTTCCAGTGTCTGGAAGAGTCAGATGCAATAAGTTAGCAGTAGGGGAATGTTAAGAAAGATAGAAAGCTCACAGTAGTATGTATCTAGTTCTGACTGCTAAGCCAGGGTCTTTGTGCTGGTATTGATTATCTAGGCTTGTGGTGTTTTGGAAGCTTTTTCCCCAAGGTGGGAAGGACAAATATATGCAATTTTCCCTACTTTGATACAGCACGTTTTATTTGTACTTTACAAGAAGCCAGCTCAGCTATTTGGTCTGACACCAATAAACCAATTTATTTCAAGGCTTTGATTCAAACTACAGTACTATGCCAAAGTTCAGAAGTGTACTCACATATTTCCCAACGGCAGTAGGCCAAATTCAGACACAGTGTAAGTTATGTCCAACTCTACTGAAGTCATCTGAGTTGCACTTGCTTATGTTACATCTGGATTTTGCCCATTAAGTTTGCAAAACTGGACTGGAAACCTATGAAAACTGGCTAATATTGGACTGCTGGTACCTGCCACTTTAGGTCAGGCCAGAAATAACACTAGGGAACAGTTCCTTGTGGTATATCAGCTTTTTTGTTTTTCATCTCAGCTGGAATCAGAAAGGGCAGAGGAAAAATGAAAAATAGTTGGCGAATGGTGCAAGCCAAACTTTTGGAAACCTCTAAAAAGGCTTGGCTCTGGTTTTCTTTGATTATTGGGTTGGGCTTTTTAAAAGCCATTTCAGCTCACCCATTCTTAAAGAAGTCATGATGCTTTAACAAAATCTGGATGAAACTATGAAGGTTTAGTCTAAGGAGAGCGGAAGCCAAATAAATCTAAGTTTTCCAAAGTAGGGCCATGTTTGACGGGTAGGCAATCTCAATCGTTTTAAGTCCATGATTACTGCATTGTTTCCCAGCATGGGTCACAGAGTGTCTACAGAGAATGACCAAGGTCATGGCTGTTCCCATGGTCTGCTCATCTGCCATTTTGGGTTTGTTATATTTCTGGATTGTGCTTAAACAGTTAAGGTGGTCAATCATTTTTTGTTTCTTGCAGAGAAGCAATGGACCTGGCGTGTAACTCAGGGAGGTTCTGACATCCATTAATCTGATTGCTGAGACTTGCATTTCAGCTCATTAAAGAAAGAACTAAACAGTACTGATTGAGGTAGGTTTTCCCATTGCATTACATCACCACCAACAGCCTTTTAGATTTTATGATGTTTTGAAGGGGAATTTTGTTTTAATTATGGTTTTTAGGGTCTGTCCTTTCTAAGAAGGCTGTGCCAAGGATCAAAACCTTTGTTGAGGATGGGTTTGAGGCAAAGATAATAAGTGAAGATAATTGTGTTAATTTTCAAGACGCTAAACACTATGGGGTCAATTGTGAATCTGATCCCTGAGATTATCAATGTGTTGGGCCAAAAGATATCTGATTATATTCACCCAGAACTGTATGCTAGCAAACAATGGAATTGGACGTGTATTGCAAGTTACTCGTTTGTTATATTTATATGTTCTTTATGTGATACTTTTTATGAGTTGCTGCTATGAATCAACACAACATACTCTAAGCATTACCAACATTCTGGGATCTGGTGGTTCATTTTCCTCTCTACCCTTTGCTTTGCCTTCCCTATATCTGGGGATGGAGATAAAAGGGAGACTTTTTACTTGCTGATTTACTGGATGTACAATGCAATACTGGAGGTAGTAATAATCTTAGATGGCTTGTATGTGTTTGCTATGCACAGGGATGCACAAGCTTGAATATGCATTTCTCTTGCTGGACAGCAGATTTAGGCATACATCATATAGTTTATACTTAACCCCATAGTGAATAGAATAAACCACAGTAATAGTGAAAAAAAATTATTAAAATGTGATCTCACTGTGTTTTGAAAGGGTGTTTTTGAGCTTTTGACCTCTGCGTACTAAAACTGAATTTAAAAATCAAAGGGCTTCGGTAACAACAAATATTGTAAGACTTCAATGTTGTTTAAACATTTCTTCTCTCTTTCTCATATATTTGTGTTGCTTATCTAAAGTATGGACAATTAATATGAAGAGCCTATTACTTACCTGTTTGTTTGGGCTACAGAGGTACTACTTTGGGGGTGGGTTACTTTGACGTGTGACCTCAATCCTGCAGTCTTCTGGAAAATGTAGTCTGGTGTTCATTTTGTTAACGCAACGGTAAATATTGTTTGTATTAGTGTTTGGTGTACTAAACATAGGAAGCCATTTCTATAATGAAGCATTGTAAGAGGGAAGTATATAACAGCATGGTTTGTCTACTCTACGTAGTTTATCTTCTGCTTTTTGGTTTAAAGGGCATGTTGGCCATTTAAGGTGCAGGATTCTGCATAATTCCTGAGTATAAATCGAGGGCTAGGTTACTATGCAGTTTATTTCAGCTCTGAGTTTTTGTCGTGTAGTACATTATGAGTACGAGGAGTAAGTTTTCTATCAAAGGGCAAAACTCTCCTTGGGATTATAGATTAGCAGGCAACTTTGTAGTCACTTTTGTGGGGTAGCAGCACTATTTTATAACTTTCATTTAAAATGAAGAAGCCACTTGGTTTTCCAAATGATGGTAGAAATTACTTAACCAGTCAAAAACTCCTTACAATTTAAAGTTTGAGGAGTTCAAAGTCACTGAATGAGGATAGCTGCACATGCCTTTCCACGGAGATCAAGCTACACTTACAGTATACATTGCATCTCCTAATGATAATACTGTGGATATCAAACCTGCACCATGTTTCTTAGGGCAAGTATATGCATCTATAAGGTGTTACATGTTTTTCAAATAATATGAATTGGAATTAAAAATAAAGGGAAGGTTTTATTTTAGAAGCAGCATATTTAATTAACAGAATTAATTTTAATGATCCATTTATATTTTTAACACTTCATACCTCTAAGGTATCTCTGACAGGCTTAATAGAGCAGGGGTTTTCAATCTGTGGTCTATGGACCCCTAGCAGTCCGCAGACTGTCTGATTTCCAAAGGGGTCTGCACCTCTGTTTGAAATTTTTTAAGAGTCCACAAATGAAAACAGGTTGAAAATCACTCTAATAGAGAAATCAACTTTGGCTGAGGTTGCAAGGATGGCTTGTGGCTTTATGAGTAAGGCTACGATTTTGTCATGGACACTTTTAGTAAAAGTCATGACCAGGTCATGGGCAATAAACAAAAATTCACAGAAGCCGTGACCTGTCCCTGACTTTTACTAAAAATGTTCATGACAAAACGGGGAGGGAGGAGGGTCCAGCACCCTGCCCTGCTGTGGCTGGGAGGGACACCCGCTCGCGGGGACTGGGGAGCTGCCAGGGGATTCTCCCTCACCACCTGCAGTGGCAGCTGGGGGGCTGCTGGGGGATTCCCCCTCACCGGTGGTGACAGGGGTACCCCACAGCTCCCAGCCACCACGGGAGGTGGAGTACCCTGCAGCTCCTAGTGGCTGCGGGCTGAAGTCACAGAGGTCTGCAGAAGTTATGGATTCCCTGACTTCCGTGACCTCCATGACCAAATCGTAGCCTTATTTATGAGCAGTGAATTGAATGGATCTCAGCGTTGGAACCCTACATATTTACAAATCATTAGTTTGTCCCCCACCCAATCACGAGATTGACTTAACAGTCGTAAGACTTTTTAAAATAATGTTTTTGTTTTTTTAATTTGCCTTCTGGCATTGGAGGTTTTAGGGTTCACATTTTCGAGCTTTTCTCTACAACCTTGAGGGCTAGAAACGTACCCTTTCTGTTTTTTAAAGAATGTGAAGATTCTCGGGTACGAATATGATTCCGAGGGATTTAGGATGACCAGATATCCCGATTTTATAGGGACAGTCCCGATTTTGGGGGCTTTTTCTTATATAGGAACCTATTACTCCCCCACCCCATCCCAATTTTTCACACTTGCTATCTGGTCACCCTAGAGGGCTTTAAGAAAAGCACTAGAGACTGTGACATTGGCGATACAACCGCGAGTACTGGATGCAGTGTCGTAACTCTGTCCCCAACAGAGAAGACTTGCTCACAAGAGAAACCCCGCTAAATTGCAATGTGACCAAACTAGCAGAGGGCTAAAGGACAGAACTGGCGTGGTGATCTGCTCATTCTAAGGTCTGGGTTGTTGGGACAAGCTCACGCTACGACTGCCAGCACACGGTCTGTGCATTATTACCAAGAAACCAACACAAGTTATGTTAAAACCCTGAAACAAACAACTCTCAACAAAAGCACACAACTCTCTCACTGTGTTGTTGCAATATTTTAATACAGCATTAAAATGCTATGATACTAGAGGAAAGCTGTATACTATCCAGCTAATAAGGCACATGTCGGAATGCCATTTTATGGACAATCCACAACAGAGGCTTTACAGTCTTTTCAGCAACACAGTCACTAGTTGAGTGAGTTGTCATCTTGGTTGCTGAGGAAGGACTGGTCCCTCTGAGGCCTGTGTCCATAGGTTTTTGTTTTTAAGCTGTACAAGTTTATTAACAATTACAGAAAAGAAAATCATACAAATTGGCAACTAAAATTGACAAGGTCCATGGGTACAGCTGGTTAAAAACAAACAAAAGTCATAATAATTAAGCTAATTTTTAAAGCTGCAGAAATTCAGAAGATACAGTTTTAGCACTATTATACAATGTAGTGACTGCTGTACTAAATAACCTTTTAAAGGAAACAAAAGTCCAGTACAGGATTAGGCAAACCTTCCATTTAAGCATGGTTTAAAAACAAAATCCATTACATAATCAAGCTACATGAAACGTAAAGTGTAAAAATGCTTCAAATACATGCACATGCATATTCTATCACACTATGAATTCTAATTAAAATAGACACAAATCCCTACAACAATCTACCTTGATCCTTTTCCATTATGTCCTTTGATTGACAATATTGCTTTAGCCAGTATTGCGTAGCAGCTCTCAGTTTATTGTCTGCAAACTGCCATGAATGTCAGTTTGTCAAATGATGCCCCCCCAACCAAACCTTCACACACACCCACCCTCGCGTTATGAAAACAAAAACCCTACAATACAAAAATTGGATATCTGTGTTCCATAATTTCTGAAAGCTGAATAGTTACTGTGCTTTCAGCATTTACTGTGTCTCTCACAAGACATAAAGTGATAGTATAATATTATCTGATCCTTACTCACGAATACATCTAGTTATAGCTTTTCCTAAAGAGGCAATACTTCCCAAAATACACATATAAATAAACTGCATAAGCTCATTAATAGAAGTCTATGCACTTGAATAATACATTGGTTACTTAATACTGATATTTTCATCCAAGGAAACAAAAACAATATGGCTTAAAGAATTGCAAGGGTTTTTTGTCAGAATTATGTACCAACTTTCATATAATATTCTATGTAGACAATATTTCCTTCTTAATGTAGTTCTGTTGCATACTTTATACAAACAAAAGCATTGTAAAAAAACAAAAATGTAAATTACTTCCATAAATATTTTCTTGAGGATATACCCTTAGTTTTGCAAAATACTTAAGAAAACTCTTACCTCTGTTAGTATTCTAGTTGAGAGCAAGGCCCTTTTGAAAGCTTCCAAGTTGTAAAAACACTTTTTTAAAAAAACAAACAAACAATACTATTTTTCTTTTTTTAAAAGGCCCTCAAATATATACAAAAAAGTTACTGCAAAGAGTTTCCAGATAAGATAATTCAGTATTACAAGAAATATTTGTAACCATTCAAAAATTTTAACATCTAAAAAGGTTTCCAAAATACACACATAGTATTAAAACAAAACAAAAACTGAAATGAACTCCGTCAAGTATAACTCAAGATAAATACACATCTGCAAGTAAAACTGTAAAATACTTCATACAGGGGGGTAAACATTAATATCAATCAACTACATCTAGTAACTGCACACGATTGTCCCTTTGAAATTCATCCTAAAAACGCAAACTGTCATCCATACATCTAATATCTCTATCAGCCCTCTGAGCACTTAAGCAATATAAATGGACAGCAGTGGTTTTTGCAGATGTAAAACTGATATGCACTGATATCCAATCAGGAGTGGAGTGATGTCTTAAAAAACAACATTGTGAGGGGCTAAAATTCCATCAAACTTCTAATTATGTTGGCAGAAGCAAGTGAGAGAAACATGCTGAGTGACTTCATTTTAACAATGCTTGTATGTTGATGAATTATTGCATGCTATTCACTGACGAGCACTTGGAATATGTACTGGACACACACACGATTTAACTGCAAGCCATGGAGAACTAATCTATTTATTTCTAATACTTTCAAATGGTCTTAGTTTTTATCTACTGGTTTAAGTAGTTTCATTTTGGAATAATGGCTATAGCTTCAAGAGTCTGCAATTCATGTCTAGTCTAAATTCCATGTTGTACAAAAAGGTAAAATATAGAGGATCCTTCTATAAATGGTCTCCTCCGATATGCATAACTTCACATTATTGTTTACAGACTAGGTCCCATATAATGGGGAACTTTAAAATACACTTATTTGCAGAAATAATATTTACCTTTTGTGTATTTATTTGCAATTAAAAAGCAATTTTGAGACACCAAGGCCTTGGATTTTGCTCAGGTGGCATCATAATGTATTATGGGGAAGCAGCAGCAGAAACTGGGTAACCTGGGGCCAAGATTTAAATTATTGTGGGGGAAGTATCCTCAGCTGGTGCAAACTGATGTAGCCCTGTCAACTTTTTTTTTTCTTCCTGAGCAATAGTGATCCCGAAGATAGGTTATACATGAAGGTTCTGATTGACTAAAGGAAGGAAAAATTATGGCTTACATGGAAAAAAATGAATGCTAAAAGTCTCCAGAAGAAACAAGGAATAGGGTATGGTGCACAGTTCAGTTCACAGGTAGATAACATTCTAATGTCTATAATTAAGTTTCCCAAACATATCCATAGGGTCAAATCCTGCTTTCATGTGTGCTGCTATCAGCAGACTCAGTGAAGCAACTAGTGTGTATTCCTTCAGGCAGAATTAATTAATTCAGATGGAATTAATTTGCACTGAATTACAAATGTTTTCACTAAGACTTGCTTTTGACTTTCAATAAAACAGCTAAAACCAATTCAGGGAATATCAGTTGATGAGTTAAAAAACTAGAGCTGATCAAAGAAAAAATGGTAGAAATTTGTCATGAAAATTTGAGGAAAAAATAATCCCATATTTTCTGGGTCAAAATCAGAAATTTTGACGAAAATTTTCAAATCTGGAAAATTTCAGCTGGTCAAAAATGGGATGAATTTTTATCAAAAAAAAAAAAAGCAAAAATCATGTTGTCTTAGTCAAAATTAATTTTTTTATAAAGAAATGCATAAATCTGAAATTCAGAAAATGTAAACCTTTACTAAACACTGTGCCCTTACTAAAGACTAACAACTGTGAACTACTTTAGATTAACAGTGAAATATGTTCCAATACTGATGTATAAATCCATAAACAAATAGGATATTACCAATAAGGATAAATACCAAGAGCTCAACATTCCAGTCCTAATAATCCCGTCAGGAGGGGGAAGGAGTTCGCTTGAAACTCTGGCCATGTGGACTTTTCCCCAGATCCACCCCTTGGGGGATGGGGTTTTTGATAATGCACAGTGAGTCTGGATGGCCCAAAAAACCCAAAGGGAAGCCAAATTTCATCCCTGTGGAAGTAGGGACAATAAGCATTGTGAGCTGACTTCTCCAGCTCTCTGGCATTTCATGCTATTCACTCTTCCTCCACACCCCATGGACTGCACCGTATATCTTGCTTCATTGATACAGATGGAAAGCATGGCAAGAATAAATTCTGCATGAAGCAACAATCTACCCCTACCAGGCTCAGAGAAGAGCATGCTGCTTCCCTTTCTGTCCCCTCTTCCTGGCTTATATATCTGTGGCGCCCCCATCATCTGGAGTGGTTTTTGTGGACTCTGGGGAGAGGGGAGCAGGCCCAGGGAGTGTTGCTTCCTGCTGTCCCACAGTCTTAGCTCCTTTGCTGCCTGCTTCTGGGCCCCTCTTCTCCAGCATAAGTGGAGAGGAGGATCCCATTCACCCCTTGTTTATTTCAAATGTGCTTACTAAGTATTAATTAAAGATGTACTTACTAGGTCACCAGTGTCAATACATTTGGTGTGTTTCATTCTACACCTCATTTGGGTATATTGTGCAAGTTTAAGTGGTAACTGCTTAATCACCACTGGCGGAAGACTACAATAAGAGGGGGATGCTATTGGTCATGAAAGGGGTTCACTGATAGAGATGTGTAGGGAAGCTTGCATAGTCCTTGCCTGGTTCCAGCAAGCAATATTTATCCTTTCCTTTCAAGAGCGTTCAAGTCACTAATTAAAATGGGGTGGGGTGGGGAGGGGAAACTCCAAAGCCCAGAGAGGTCAATGGGAGTCTTTCCATTGACTTCATCTGGAGTTGGACCAGGACACAAATGCATTTGATTTGTGTCTTCAGTTAATATGTTGACATTTCTAACATGTAGGATAATATAATGACATGAGTATTTAACCTCCAACAAGTATGTGTTTAAAAAAAAAAAAGGTTATTCTATGCATATGCAAATGTTAGTTGCATTAAAGCCACATGGGATGTATATTTGGGAACCTTGGTTTAAAGCATTCCCTAGAAATCTATAAGCTAAAAGCACCGTAATGCAATAGTGAACCTGAACAAATAACATTTAAAATGGTACTAATGTGAAAAAGACAACAATTTTGTTTAATAATGTCCTTCAACTGGTCTATGTTAAGATCCTGCAGTGGCTTAATTACAGCATGTAATTATAGCTACATATAGCTACATATTTTGTAGTGCTGATGTTCAGCAACAGTGTGTCGTCTTGGTTGCCACAAATTTGAAATTATTTTGAAATGGAGGGGTAGGTTGGTTGCTACATTCTTAGCTTTATGAAGAAAATGGCTTTTCTCTTAGCTTTTGTTTGGTGCTATTTCTTAGCTTTTCCTTTAGCTGGATATTAAGTGTCAAAGAAATTGCTGCTAATATACCATTAAGTGCTCAAGGGAAAAAATTATAGCCCGTTTATTGTATGGCCTTCTTGCAGTCTTTCCCTTTGAATTACTGACACACCAAACAATGGGTCAAAATTAACACTGATGCCAAGTTTTAAAAACCCACCTCTAAACTGGCATGCAGAAATGTTCTTATTTTATGGGCAAATTAAGAAGCTTTGTTTAGAAAATCTGTCCCTAAGTATACTTTTCAGTCTTCAGCTAAGAATGCATTCCCACTTGAAGATGCTAACTGTCTCACTTGATGGAGGCAATCAAAATCTGTGATTAGTGTTAAATTTCAGTCATATTTTTATTTTAAAATATGGTACTGCTAACTGGGCAAAATTAGTCTCAAAGTGTTTAACTTAATATTATTTTGTAATTATATAGCAGTTTTCATCCAACAACGTCAAAATGCCTTTAGACATTAAATAAACCTCACAACACCCTTGTGAGGTAGGTATGTTAAGTATTATTATCCCCATTTTGCAGATGGGGAAACTGAGGCATGGAGAGGTTCAGACAGTTGCCCAATGTCAAACAGCAGCCCACTGGCAGAACCCAGGACAGAATCCATGTGTCCTGTCTCCCAGTACACTACTCTAACTAGTAGACCACATTACTTCCTACTTGAATTTTTGGGTTCCCCATAAATTGTGAAGATTGAATTTTGTGTGAAGTTTCTAAACAAATCATTTTTGCCCTGTCAACATTTTGCCCTGTTCACAGACAAGCATGGAAATGGCAAAAGTTTCACTCTGGATCAACTTTGTGAAGATCTTCACATTTCACGTGGGAATGCTTACTACAAGTTTTTAATCTGCTTTACAAGACTCTGACTGGTTGTACTGGTACCACCTCATCCTACCTTGGTATGCGATAACTCTGGATTGTATCTATCAAATTTAACTTTGAAACAGCTTTAACTTACTATGAATGTTTCCAATTTAAAACATCACTACATAACAATAACACACAACCATTTCTTAAAGAAAATTTCATGAAAATAAAAAATGGTTGATTTAAAAAAAACACTCTCCTGTAGTTTTCTATAGAAGTGGATGACACATACAAGTCTTTTTCATTCTGTCCTTTTGCCAATGTACTCTTAAAAATACATACAAAACCAGAATACTGTCTTGAGGTACTTTCATTTCATGACATTCCCCAATCTCTGATAATATATTTTCCTTTGTAACAGGATCCTCCTGCACAAAGTTCCTTCTACCTGAAATAGGACAACCACAGACAGTTACTACATTTCTCCTAACCTATATAGGTGTTTTAGAAAGACAGAGAAGAGGGTAGGTTATGTTCTTCATGCCCCATACAACCCCTGTGGCTACATACGTATATACTTTTATATTAATAAATTTGCACAGTAGAAAACAGGACATAAAAATATTTCCAGAAAGTGGCTTTCGAACTAGTATAAATATTAAGTCTGGCTACTCACTCAATTAGGGTTTGGGGACAAATTTAATCATTCTCATTCCCCATTATTCACAGTAAATTTTGTGTGCTTGTGGCCTAATGAATAGCAAATACACATAAAGGGCCCATTTAAAAGAAATTATATGACAAGAGAAGGATTTCAGTCAATCACAGCCCAAAGAAAGCAAAAACACTATTCTCTCCCAAAAGATGCTGGAATCCTTACTGACAATCTGTCCAGTTGCTATTCTCCATTTCCATACCAAAAAACCACTCCCTCAAACAATTATACACTTGATTTTACCCTCACTGAGTCCACCTACGCCCTACCCAAGTTACATTAAGCAATGGAAGTCCAAGAAAGCAGCAGCATGGAACTTTCAAATCTTCCAAAGCAAGGAAAATATGATAGTTTCCTTTCTTTAATGCTGTGGCTTGTTGAATCTTCCTTTGTCTTGTCGTACAGCAGGAATAATGTTCATGGGGTTAGCAAGCACTCCCAATTAGTGGCCTTGCAGGTTACCTAAGTCCTGCAAAAGCCATTCATAATGTTTACTCCCCAGTGAACATTATACCTTGCCTAACAAACAGCACTTCTCTTCATTTCACCTGGCCATGATATAGGAACTGTGTAAACAATCAACAGAAACCACAGCAGTGGTTCCATTGTGAACACTATCAGTAACACTGTTTGATAGATATATAGATAGATCGATATATAAAACACACCATAGTCCTATAAATATATCTTGCACGTATACACATACACAGGAAAAGTGTTACATTCTATTAATGGTAAGGCATATTATTAGTTTAAAGATAGGCAAAATTGGCAATCTTTTTAGGTTTTTTTTTTGTCTTGGATTCTGAGTCGCTGTTGACCGCGTGCTGCCAAAAGATCTCGCAGGATGATGGGGACGGAAGAGGCCACCCTTGAAGGTTTATTGCACACGACGGCAGTAGTAGCCCAAAACTTTGCACTTCTCACACAGATGCTGAGGATGCTCCTTGCTCTGATCTGAAACATCCAGGCCATCCGGCTTTTCCAGGGGTCTCTGCAGGGAAGAAAGGGAATAGAGTATGCTCTAGTAAATGTCACTGACAATCGATTGTGTCTAGGCTTACAAAACCCAACTTTTAAGCTTATTTTGCTAGGCTTTCTCCCAGTGCAGCTAATGGTGCTATATTTTTTCCCTGAAAAGCCTAAACATGTTGCCAACCACCTGGCTCTGCAATGGTGGGAACTGTCTCGACAGCATGAATGTCATTCCCTTTCACACAAGGTCTTGTAAACCCTTATTCTAGCTGTACTGCGGAAAAAAGACTTAATTTATAACCTCATGCTATAAAACAGCCCCATTTATTGACTTGCCCCCAGTGATTATATCCCAAAGGACATTAGCACTTAGAACATAGGCATCCCATTGCCCCAGGCATGCCAGGGGGGTTAACATTATTAGGATTTAGTGCTAATACCAACAAGCCATCTTGCCAATGTACGGTTATGAAACAAGTGACAGAGGTTTGCCTGACACACACTTCCATATTTGGAGAGCTGGAATTTCCCGAACACAGCAGCTGCAAAGTGGGGGAAGAAAACTGCTCAACTAGTTATGTGGTTAAGTATTTGTAATAGCAGTTGGGTAAGATATGGCGGGGGGACAGAGGAGGGAATCAGTAAAACAGGGAGTGAAAATTCCTCAGATTTACTAGATCTTGTACTTTAAATTTCCCTGACATCTAAAAGCTTTCACATCAATTTAAAAAATAAATCACCCATACTGTATATCAAAGCAAGACTGCCTGTTTGAAAGGTGTGATGGGTACAAAGGTGACAGAGACATAAAGATGAAACAATACAATGTGCACTTTATAGTGGAATCATGAAAATGTATAACTTCTCTGGCTTTCTAAGAGTGCACTTAAAAGGCAGTCTGGTTGCTCGATGATTTGCAATAAAGGCGGCTGTGAGTGTTCAACTGTACTGTGGATAATGACAGCGAATGGGGTGTAATCTGAAAACAAGCCGAAGATTTTACACTGTGTGAGGAATAGTAACTTCTTGCTGATCATCTCAAAATATTGTTCTTGGGGAGGGAAGTGGAGAAATATAAAGTAGACATTTAACCCTGTTCACTTCCCATTCCCAAACCCTCGCTCCAGTCTTGCCTGAAGTGATAAAATGTTAAGAGCATTCGATGTTCTAAATTATCAAGATTTCTAAATTAACAACAATTAACTAGATAATCACAATGGTCCCTTCTGGTTTAAAGTCTATGAGTTTATGAATTTAAATGTCTGCTCTTCATTCCAGGGTAACCCTCTTAAAATACTGAGCATCAAAACGAAAAGGCCATTTGAAACTTTTAGAGCAGGTAGTAACAACCCAGAGTTGAAGGGGTACATTTTACTGCATTCTAAAAGAAGAATAAAATAAGCCAAAATCTAATATATTCTACTTAGCCCAAGAAAGGATACCTGCAACTTCTTGCTGTGTTCATTCTTGTTTCTGACTCCTGAGATGAACATTTTTACTTATTGCCTTTCACAGATAGTAATAATAGCAAAATGGAATTAATTCTGTGGAGATTGCCAATAGTTTGTTCATCCCTTTCTCTACAGTACATGGCCCAATGCTTTGTTCACTTGGGGCCAGATTCTGAACTGGTGTAAATGCGCATAGTTCAGTTTACTTCAAGGGACTAGCACATGATTAAACTTAATCACAAACTTCAGTACTTAGCTGGATCAAGTACAGTGTTCCCAGCATTCAAAGCCTGTGAAAGATTCCCACTGATTTCAAAGAGCTTTGGATCAGGCTATTAATGAGTTCCTTAAAAACAGAGCATTAGAATTTGGGATTAGAACTCCGGAACTGGGATTCCAGCCCCGTGCTCATTCCACTAGGCCACACAGTAGTTCTGCCAGTCTAGTAATGGATAGTTTATATATATAACCAACCAAGTTACCAAGATGAATAAGCAATGTAAGGTCTGTTTTCAATTGGGAAAAACTGTCAACTCCCCCTCCATGCTCCCCCTACCCACCCCTGCAAATATTTCCTTCCTATGTCACCCAAGGAGATGTGTTGGATAACACGTGTTTTCCCTGAAGTTTGACCCCCGTCTGCAATACAGTCTAAGTTGAGGTTCAGGCACTACAAGAGTTAATTTGTGGTCCAAGAGGAAAGCTCCTGGAAGCTTTGAAATGATACACTTAAAACAGAGCAGCCATTCGGCACAGCTCTGATTGCTTCTACATACTAGCTGTGCTCTGATTAAAGAGAAAAATACAACAGTTATCATGTTTATTGAAATAAGCCAGGTTTTTTTTTTTTTTTTTTAAACACAAGGCCTCGGGAATCGTTTTTCCTGGAAATAGTGCAAAGGACGTTGGGAATGCCTCGGACTGCCAAGAGTTTCTTGGACTGCTGTCAGAAACAATACCTCTCCATGGTTTGCGTTCCCCCTGTGATGACTGAGCTCAGCTTTTTTGGCCTGGGAGCCACTTAGATTTCAGAAATGTTATTGTTACCAGCACGTTACGACATACAGGCTGGAGAGAGAAGGGTTATGAACACAGGAAACCAGGTTGCTTGGGGCCAGCTGGAAGGCACAAAGCAGTATTAGGGCTGCTTTTTTGATGAGGCTAGAGAGCTATATCTCCAGAAACTACACTGTGTATCGAGAGGTTGCATCAAAAAAAAAGAAGTGTTGCTTCAATATTTAAATGCACCGAAGGGCTTGGCTTTGGCGTGTAGCTAAGTTATTTGCTGTAAAAATTAATCTGCCCCATTCCTATTATTCCTTTATCATTAGTAAAGATAAAACAAATATTTCATAATAAAAAAACAACGTGGAGAGTTATAGGATGAGAGCAGCATTCCTGCTCCACCCTTCTTACACCATGTGAAAGGCCCAGAGTGGTGTAAAGAGGCCCTAAAAGCCCCGTGTCCAGCTGTAGCAGAATTCCCTTAGCACAGGCATGGTGCAGGATAGCTATATGGCTGCCTCCTGAGGTTCTGGGAGCTGTACTGAGGGGACAAGAGGTTGATGGCAGGAGGGAAGTATTGAGGGCAGGCTGCAGAGACTCTGAGCTAGCTGCTGTACCACAGACAGGCCCACAGGGCTATCTAAGGGTATGTCTACAGTACAAGTGCTACAGCGATACTGTCATAGTGCTGTAATATAAACACTACAGCAATGGAAGGAGGTTTTCTGTCATTGGAGTAAATCCACCCGCTTGAGAGATAGTACCTAGGTCAGTGGAAGAATTCTTCCATCGATCTAGGTGCATCTACAGTGCGGTTAGCTCGACCTAACTACGTTGCACACGGCATGACATTTTTTACAGCCCTGAGTGATGTTGCTAGGTCGACCTAGGTTTTAGG